CTGTAGATATTTTGTGCTTGGTTGCATAGATGCTTGCATCTGTCCACCCGTGGAGGGTTGGATCTCCTTGTATAGAATTCATTTTTTCTATATATAGGGAGGCCCTCTCTCATGTTTTAAGGTTGGAATATTTCAAACTCAAAATTTTCCTCTCTCTCTAGATTTCTCTCTCTCTCTCTCTCTCTCTCTCTCTCTCTCTCTCTCTCTCTCTCTTGCATTTCTCTATACTTTTGCCTAGTTACACTATAGTTTTGCATATCAACCCTTAACCTAAAGTGATCATCTTTTAGCTGAGGGCCTTTGAGGTCTTGATTGAGCTCTTGGAAGTGGTTTTGGCTTGTATTTGTGCTTAAAGTGGTGTTTGGCTTCAAGAGGTATAACATTAATCTTTTGACTTGTTTTAGTACACTTGTTTTCCTTCCTTTTTCCACTGTTTTTGGGTTGTTCTTGAGCTATAAAAACTCTATCAAAATGGGTTGAAATTTGTGGTTTGAAGCCATTTTAAGGTAGGAAGTGGTTCACCATTCTTTGTACATTGTTTGTGAGGCTTCTCCACTAGTGTTTCCCATTTTTAAACCATCTTTTTTTTATCCTTTAACCACTGAATTTCAAAGTATTTTTAGTGGCAAAAAACTTATTTTGAAGTCCAAAATTGGAGGGGTTAGCCTCCCCTCCTTGTGTCTTGTTTGCTAGCCTAGTTAACTTCATATGTTAGCCAAGTCCAACATGTTTTAGCCTCTGAAATAGCCTGCTTTAGCTCTATTTTGGGCTAGTTAGTTCATTTGAGTCTTGTTTTGCATGGTTGTAGTGTAATAGTCTTCACAAGTTGGTGTTTTATGGTCTTAGACACCTCTTGTTTGAGTTGATAGCATCTGTTGGTATTGTTTTTCACTCAATTTCAGCACTATAAACTCTGCAACCTCCCTCTTTGCTTCACTTTTTCATTTTCTTTTGAGGATTGTTTTAAGCTTAGGATCCTTTAAGCTTGAGGTTAAGGTCATGCTTAATGGTTTAATCCTCTTTGAGGGTTCATTATCAACGACACGATCTCTCTCTTGCCATACGTTATCTCTTGGTTGACACTTCTTTCATCTTAGAAGACACTCACCAATGGACAAATGGATTAAAGAATGATTTGGTAACTAAAATGTGTAAACAAAATTGACAAGTAAAAGTGGCAAGATAAACATTTCTTTGTGTTGCATTGCATGTGTTCAAATCGGACGTTAATTTGAACACAAGGAAAATGGGACATTTCATACTCAAAAGTGATGAAATGTGTCACTTTCCTAGGTCTCTGTTGCCCTTGATCATGCATGATAGGGTGATGGTTCTTGAGTGTCTTGTTTTGCATTTATTAAGCTTGCACAACTTGAAGCACAAGCCATCATGCAATGAATTTGCTTAGATTGGTGGTTTGTGATTTAAGTTCACAATTCCTTGGATTTGTCCATAAAAAAGATGGGTGAATTGTGCATCTAATCCTTGGAAAAAAAACCTTCTTTTTGCTCTGTTTGTACTCTGTTACAGCATGGTGATCCAGTGCATCAGTGGCCGACAGGCCACTATCCATGGCCAACAGTGCACTATTGATGGTCGGCAGGCCACTGATGTAAACTTCAACAGATTTTGGTAAGGTGGAGCAGAAAGGTCCTAAAAATGTTCAACTCTGCAAACAGAGGCTTTCGAGAGCCAAATGGAGGTCTTTTCGGGCGAAAACCAAGTATGTGCATCCTCCACTTCCTGAGGCGGAGTAGTGGCAGCGTAGTTTTATTACTTAGTTTACTTACATTTGTGTTTAGCCCTAATTAGTTGCTAGTTAGTTAGCTTTTATTCATTTGGACTCTCCTTCGTGAGAGCGTATTGTAATAATGTGTATGCTTTCCAACCCCACGTCTTTTTTCATTTTATTTAATCCCTTTTGATGGTTAGATTAGGGATATATTTCAATTAGTATACCTTATGCTTGCATACATTCATCTTATATTGCATGCACCGAGGCTCGGCGCATCATTCAAATTGCATTGCCATTTCAATAATTATTTGAATACGTGTTTAACCGCATGTTATCAAATTAATTCATATGCCATATTCGTAATCAAGCCTATCAATTACATATCGCATGTATTGCATTAGTCATCTTGTATAGTTAAGAATCACGCATATTTTTCCAACTCATGTTTTCTTAGCTTGGAGTACTAGGTGAATTTTATGTTTTAGCATACTTGCATGAATGTGGATGATGTCATGTCTAGCATACTTGCCATGAGGCTAAATGCTTAAGTGATTAACTGTTTGAATGCTTGTAGATGAAGGGTTGTTGTTTGAATTGAAACGATTCAACAAATGTATGTTTTAAGCCCACTTTGTTGAGTGGCAATCCATTTTAAGCCCATCATGTTTGGTAGCAAATTCGCAAATCTTTATGCCCAATTGAGGTGGCAAATTCGAACCATTTTCACAATCAGACATGAGTTGAATTGTTCTCAATTGAGCAAACTAGTCTATACTTGATTGTGCGCATCACATAGTAATGCTAGTTTAATAACTGGAACAAGAGCACATAATGTTTATAAAAAATCATATCATGATTAGTAGAGGCCGATCTTTGATCAGGCAAGCGAAGGTGCTCAATTCATAATCTTCCCCTTTTGTACCTAAGTTCCCGAGCCGAGGCAACTTTGGTGATAACGGACACGTGGCCTTTGGCACGAGTCATGGGTTTCCTAAATTCTCCCAAAATAAAATATTTAGGTGGCGACTCTATATTTGGCAAAGCAGTCCAATTTTGGCACCTTTGATTCAAAATCAATTTTCCAAAACGATTTGTTGGGTTTGAACTCTTTGGTTTTTATTAGTTTCACATTGCACTTATGAGATTAGATTCAGAATCATGGGAGTCTGAACTGTAGGGCTTTCTTTCGAACCTTCCGAAAGGGGGTGCGAAAAAGGCGAGCTACAATTTTTCATTTTCCCACTTCTCTCTCTTACTTTTTCCTTTTCTCACCCATCCTTTTATGATCCCATGATCCCACATTCCCCTCTCTTTTGTTTTTATTGTTTTATTTTCTCCAATTTTTATTTTTCTCTCTATTTGTTTATTTTTTTTATTTTCTCTTTTTTATTCAATATATTTTACACATTTTTTCCTACAATGTATGTATGCCCGTAATACATTAAGACATTACGGACATACATACAATTTTCATATAATTATATAAACAAAAATATTATTATATGTATGTCTGTGGAAATTATATGTATGACAGGTACATTTATCTATCTAGCTATGTATTATATAAGCAAAAATTAATTTTCATGAGTTTATGAGAACTCTAAAATTTAATAATAAATTTATGAATTTATTAATTTAAATAATATTAGAATTACAATTACATTTTAATCCTAACATTATTTATACCCAACTTTTAAATACGAACATACGCTAGTTAATTAATATATCAGGATGCGTATAACAGCACCAATTTTAAAATAATCATTTTACGTATAATTTATAAGTTAATTTTTTTTAATCAAAAAAATAAAAAATAAAATAGAGAGGTGATAGAGCTGCCAAATGAGCTGAAAAAAAAAAAAAAACCACTTTCACCATAGAATCAGAAATCATTCACTATGCTTAGTTACCACTTTTCAGAAACACTTTTCAGAAAATTTTACTTTCTTATTTTTCGTACTTTTTTATTTTTACTAAATTTTTTTAATATTTTGAGCAATTTTTTTAATTTTTAGACATACCTAACATAAATATACCTAAAAAGTAAACAAAAATATTGAAAAAACCTTTTAAAAATTCACTAAATACCAAAAATATAAAAAAAAATACGAGAATTCAGTACATTTTTTGAATTTTTGTGTATTTATTAATTTTTAAAAGTATTTTTTCACAAATTTTTTACTTTTTAGATATATCTAAGTAAGGTGCATTTAAAAAAGTAAAAAAAAATGTTTAAAATTTTAAAAATATTTACTAAAAACAAAAGAATACGAAAATCAAAAAACTCAATTTTCAAAAAATTTAATTCAAAAAACTCAAACCAAACACACTGATTATTGTTTTTCCTCTTTCTGGATTTTCCATTTTTGCTTTCCTTTGGAATCATCAACAACCAATCACCGATCATGTCCACAGCAATTTCTGAGCTCTCTTCCTTCTCTTCATTGAACCGCAGACTACATCTACACACTCGGCCATGCCCTACCGGTCGTTCGAAGGTGAGAGTCCTGCTCTCAAAACCCCCAAACTTTTTCAGACTCCGTTTGGTTCCCAAGAAAATGCTAGAAAATTAAATAAATTTGATTTTTTTTATTGGGTTATATGCGATTTGCGGAGGTAAAACCTCTACTCAACTATTCAATCATTTTTTGCCTCCAATTTGGGGGTTTATACTTGTATTCGTATTCGATGTACAAAATAAATTCAAATTCCCAGCTTTTTATTATGAGGGTTATTTTGTCTGCAAGAAATCCTCAATAGGAATATTTTCATTTGCTAAAATTGGGTGCAAGTTTTACTAATGAGTGATTTATATTTTTGTCCTAATTTTTAGAATTTGCAAGTGGTACCGACTGTTGGAAATCTTTTTTATTTTGTATAGGTACTGGCTGTCATATAGACAAAAAATATATTTAAAAATATATATTATTTATTTTTAAAAGATAAATTTGATAAAGTAAAAATATTACTATTATTGAAGTGCTTTAATTTTTTCATAAATGATATACATCGAGGATTTTGCAAAAATGTTATCTAAGAGATTGTAATAAATAATAATAAAAAAAAAATGGTCTTTCTTTGGGCAGTTCATGCTGCATCGAATGGTCTTTTATGTTGTGTTTGTTTCATAGGGTAAGAATATGAAAATGAAAAGATGTATAAAATGTAAGTGAAATATAGTTATGTTTCATATATATTATATATATATATATATATATTTTTTTTTCTTCTAAATCTCTTCTCAAATTTATAAAAACATAGCCTCTTGGTCAATAACATGATAAAATCAAGTGTAAGGGCAGACTGATTGGGTATTTAGGCTGTTTGTTTGGTAGAAAGAGTCCCCAGTGTCTCTCAACTTCGTCTCCGGGCATCTGATTCTGATCAAACATGGCCAAAATGTAAGTCTCTATAGCCCTTCCCGGCCTTTTCGGTGTCCCTCCTTTCACATGCTGAATCAAATTGTTATTGTAGATCCTTGCATTGTCAACAGATGTACCAGTTCCACCAGCCGAAGGCCAACCGGTTTCAGACACAACGATCTCCAAAGAGCCACCGCCCGCCTTCTCAATCACGGAGTAAAAAGTATCCAGCATTGCATCAAATAGATTTTGGTATTGGAGCAAGCCATCAGTCATCACAACCGAAGGAGATGTGAACAGAGCGTAATCAAGACTAGTGCTATTCGTGTTGCCTGCATAACTAAAATAAGGGTACAAGTTAACGAGCAATGCCGAACGGTTGCTAACCAAGAAACCAATGATGGGGTCGATAAAGGATGATCGAATTTCGGGCCTAAAAGAACCTACTGATGGAGGAAAGCTGTTTCCTATCAATCCAGTGTTTACAGCAGTGGAAACTTTAATTTTGTAGTCAAGCTTTGCCGAGAGAATGGCAGTGTTCACCTTTTGCATCGCGGGAAGAAGAAATTGAGCTGTGTTGGAAGATGGATCGACTTCATTGCCAACTGCGATGTACTTGATTTTGACATTGCCATAGTTTTTGACATTGTTTTGGACCCATGTATCTGTTGCAGCTTGGTTAGAAGCAAGTGTTTGGAGATTGGGGTTTGGAATACCTAGAATGAGCTCAATGTTGGAGCCTCCAAGGGCTCGGAGAGCTTGTTGGTCTGGGTCATAGAGTCTCATTCTTTGGATGCCATTTTGGGTGTAAAGAGCTACAACTTCTTGTCCAGATGGCAAGTCATCACCAAGCATTCCATAACAAACTCCTATTTGGGCATCTGCATTTTGTAAACAAAACAAATTAGGTTTGTACTATAATTGCTTAATGGCATATTGAATTGTTAATCGCATACTCATCTAAAAACTTAAACTATTAAAAAGCAAGAAACAATTTTATTATATATATATCCTCAAATACTTACAATAACTTTAAGCTTGTAGATTCAAATCTCGAGACAACCATTTTATGTATTATGTCAAAGGTTAGGTATATATTTAGGACTATTTTAGAAAGATGGTTATAATCAGTTTTTTAGTGAAAAGCTGCTTATAAGCAGTTTTTTTGTGAAAGAGGAAGTGGGTTTTAATCTGGAAAGTGGATTATAACCCACTTCCCAAAATAGGCCTTAATCTTTTTCCTTCCAAACACATATTATTGTGTACTAATTGATCGTTGTTTTTTTTTAGCCTCAAATACTTACAATAATCCCAATTGAATTCTAAATCTTTTTGAAGAATATAAGAAAGTTGGAAACGAGACGACCCCTATCACTAGTGAAATGCGCATGATATTGCCCTCTGTGGTTATGGGTGTGGATGGCGCATAAGTAGTGTAACATGACCCATATAGTAAAAATAGTTTTCATTTGGTAAAATATTAAATTAGTTTAAAAAATCAACTATATCTAATGATAACGCATGTTTATTGGCTCTCTCCACATGCCTTCAAATTTTTTATAGAAAACCTACAATGGGATTATGGGATACACAGGAACAACCTATTAGAGAGAGAGAGAGAGAGATTACAACAAATAAAAGTTTTAAGGATTAATTTTTTGTCCCCAAAAGTGAATTTTGATGCAAGAGGTTATTTGAAAAGTTCAAAACAAAGACTTTCAATGACAAAATTTTAAAATTATCATTAATAAATACATTTTTAAGGGCAAAATAATTTAGTCCTAGTAGATTATCTTTTTAGACAAATTTTGATCAAAAAATGATAGTAATTTATTACTAAAATGTGTAATTTCGTCGCTAAATATACAAAAATGACAATTTTGACAACAAAATATTTCTTCCTTAAAAGTGATTTTGTTCATAAATTTTTATATCTAAAATCTTAGGACATGTTTGATTAGAAGGATTAGAACATGGGATTGGGATTATTAATCCGTGTGCCCAATTATTCCATATTTGTTTTGACATTTTGTTTTAAGATTATTAATTCATTGGATAATTAATCCAACAAATTTGTAGGATTATTAGTAATGGGATAGGGGTGGGATTGTGAATACCACACTAATTTGATAGGATTATTAATACCTCACTATTAGTCTTGTGGAATCAAACATGGCCTTAATGGGTTGTGTACGGGGAGAGAGAGAGAAACCTGTTTCATACAGTGTAGCTATTAATACCCCAAGGAGTAGCATTACAGCAATCATGGAAGACCTTTCACCAGAGAAATGTAACTTATCCATGAAGAAGAGAAAAAAGAAAACAATCTGCAAATATAAAGTTGCAAAAACACTTTGAACTTGGTCCTTTTTGTAGAGAGGAAGAGGCTTGAAAGTCTCCGTACCACACTATTTCTAAGTCAATAAGTCCCGTGGAAATTAAGCTAACAATAAAATTCCACAAAAATACACCAACTTCACGTACAACACCATCTGCATCTCTATTTGCTTGCCAATGGCAGTCTCTCTTTCTTAAATGACTTTCCATGAAAAGAAGGCACATTGACTATTCATTCTCTTCAACACGTTTGTGGAGGGTTGACGTATATCTTTAGTTTTATCTTATAAAGGTCGATGTGTGTTATAGGGGGGACTTGAAATTTTTTATTTAAAAGGAGTGAATACATATTGATCAAAATTTTAAAAAGAAAGTAGGGAACATAATATTAGTTTTTATCGACATAAAAAAAGTAAAAATTAAAAATAAAATCAAAACATATATAAGTAAATATTTTCTTGTATTTACATTAAATTATAAGATACATGTTTTCTTATATTAAATGCATCTACATATAGTGGTGCATCTACACAATTTAATTGAAAGCTTTAATAATTATTGCTTTCTTGTACCTAAACACTGTAATGACTAATAAAATATTATGAAACTTTAATATTTCTCTTTCTTCAAGAAATATAAGATTAAGCTTATATGTAAAAATTAAAAATGTACTGAGAGAGAAAATAAAACGGAATAATATTTAAATATTTTATTTTTTATGTGAGAAGGAATTAATTGATTTTTTTATTATTTTTTTTCATGGGCAATCCTGTACACATCTTCTATTACATTATTGGGCCGAATTTGAAAAACCAATCAACACCCACCCTATATAATTGGGCCCAAATCAAATTATAATTAAATTATGTATTAATTAACAAACTTAGGTATGATCAATATAGAAAGGTTGATCACTTAAATTTCTTTAAAAATTAAAAGGTTTAAGATTTATCCTATTTAATTTAGAGATAATAAACAATAAATATTATTATAATGATAATTTTATTATTTTAATAATGTCAAACTAGCAATATGTCAATCACTTCAAGTCTTGTACACTGCATCATCTCCTTTTAAAAGTGACAATTAAATCAATCTTTACGCGTTTAAGTTATGTCTCATAAAAATGTTAAATAGTTAAACAGTAATGCTACGGAGCTTGAATCTTTCCTTCTCCGAATCCCCCCGAATTTAAAATGACGTCGTTTCGTCGTTTTGATTTTTTTTTTTCAATAATGCAGAAGAAGAAAAATCAAAAAAGAAGAAGAAGAAAGGAGGCGGAGGAGGAAGATAAGAGTAGCAGAGAGAGACAGGAAAAAAAAAAAAAATCATCAACAACAACATCATCATCATCATCTTCAGATCTTCATCAACATCATCATCAATAACCATTCATTTTCAGATCCAAGAAAAAAAAAATAATAATAATCAGATCCAGAACATCTTCATCATCAACAACATTTTCATCAACACCACCATTATCATCATCAACACATTTTCAGGAAAGAAAAAAAAAAACTGCAATCGATCTGAAATCGGAGGCGGAGGCGGCGGCAGTGGCAATCGGCGACGACCTCGACCCTCGATCGGCGGAGGTAAAGGCGGAGGCGGCGGCGATCGGCGACGGCCTCGACCCTCTCCCTCTCTCCATTTCCTCTTCCCCTCTCTTCTCTTTTTCTCTTTCTCTTTCTTTCCCTCTTCCTCTTCCTCTCTACGTTTCATACATAAATGAGGGAAGAAGAAAAAGAAGGAAAAAAAAAAAAAAGGAAATTGCCCAAAATGACGTCGTTTTGGGCAGTCGGGGGATTCGAGGAAGAAAAATTCGGGGGAAAAAACATTTTCCATAGTTAAAATGTTTTATGCAACAATTAAAATCTCAAATTTTAGTCTCTACTGTGACTTCTTAAAGAGAAATGTTTTACTCACGTATTTTATTATTTTCAATTGCACTTTTAGGCCAAGTTTGACTACTCAAAATAAGTACGCACTTTTTATCTTTTTATCTTTTTTTCATCACATCACCTCTCTACTTTTCTGCACATTTTTTCGTAAAAAGACAAAAAGTACACTTATTTAGGTCATCCCAAACAACCCCTTAATGAGACGATAGATAATATTAACTAACCAATTTTTTCAAATTCTTCTCTCTTTTTAAAATTATTTATCACAATATTAAAAATATAATTATAAATGATGAGATCAGAGATATAGTAAGGGGTTGTTTGGGATGACCTAAATAAGTATACTTTTTGTCTTTTTACAAAAAGATATATAAAAAAATAAAAAAATAATATGATAAAAAAAATAAAAAAAATAAAAAGATAAATTATTTTTGAGTTGTCAAATTTAACCTCAAACTCCTCTCCCAATAAATGTGGATTTATTTATTACAAGATTTGGATTATGACACTTACAATGACACGCTTGACCTGGTAAAGAGAGGCGGGCCATGGTGCACAATTCGTGACACGCGGAAGTTCAATGTAATAAGTTGACTCAATAATTCGTATGGAAAATGAGTGCGTCATTCTTTTGGGAACTCAACCTCTAGGTCCATTTGTTTTTGGGTGGTAGAGAGTCGGATGAGATTAGGATAAAAATAAGATTTATTTAGTGTTGTATTTATTTATAGAGTTGGAAAGGGTGGTGATTTAAAGCATTAAATTTGAAACTTTAAAAATACGATTAATGATGTGGCAATATAAAGAAAAAAAAAATAAAACAAAACAAAGGCCAAACTATTACATCAGTGGTGGGGTCCACATGATGCCACATCATTAGTGGTGCATTAGTGGTGCTAAATTAGTGGTATGAAACATTTTCCGAGGAAAATAGATTGAAATGGAAGAGGGTATTAGAATGGAAGTTGGAAGTGAGATTGGGATGAAGGAGGTGGAAATGATATTAGAAAAATAGTCTACCGGATTAATTTTTTTTTATTTTTTTCATGTTGGACATTTTTTTTGAACATTAATGTTTAATTTTTTGTATTTTTTTATTTGTTTTATTATTTTATATAAAAATAATTTAATAATTTCTATACTAACAACTATCAAAATAAACATAATTTTACTTAATCCCTTCACTATCAATTTCCTCTATTATACTTTTGAAGACAAACAGGACCTAATTCACATCATTTATATATGTATATTTGTAGGGTTCACATTATAAGTGATTTGAATTACTTTACGAATCGTAGAAATTTCAAAAAAAAATAGTCTTTTAGATATTCAAATAAATATAAAATAAATTCAACTATTCTCATCATTGATCAAAGAACTATAAATAAATAAACGATGATATTCAAATAAATATAAAATAAATTCAACTATTCTCATCATTGATCAAAGAACTATAAATAAATAAACGATGATATTCAAATAAATATAAAATAAATTCAACTATTCTCATCATTGATCAAAGAACTATAAATAAATAAACGATGATATTCAAATAAATATAAAATAAATTCAACTATTCTCATTGTAGTTAGGGTTGAACAAATATATGATATATTATTTCAAACTTGACTGAGCCTGTTATTGAGCCTAATTTAATTATTTTAAACCCATTCTTAAAAGTGTCTAAATCTCAAATTTATCCACTTTTTAGATTATTTAGACCGTTTTAAAATTATTTAGATCGTGAAGGGCTATTAAAGTTATTTAAATCGTTTTGCTCATTATTTAAATTTAAAATATTAACAAAATTCAGTTATAAAATAAATATAATTTTTTGACAAACGTTTTAATTTAAGTTCTAGAAATAAGTATATATAATTATTTTTCTTTATCTTTTATTAGTTTTTAATTTATTTTGTGATTAAATAATATAAAAATTAAAATTAACATTTTGTAATTGAGCGGGTTCAGACTGAGTTGGACTAGAAATTTTTATTCCAAACGTAAGTTGAAAATTAAATGAGTTTAAAATATTAGTGTAGTTCGGTTTTATAAGCTAAATATTTTTTGGAAAAGTACAATTTAGTAGAGATTTAGAAAAAGAAATTGCACATCAATAAAAAAATTTATAAATATTAATAATTAAAATTTTAAAATTTTTCAAAAATTTTAAATTTTTTCAAAAATTTATTGAATTGTAATTTTTCCAATATTTTTTCTTCAAATATTAAAATAATATCTACTGGGGTGGGGTGGGTTGGGTTGGGTTGGGCTGGGCTCAAGTTTGCGGGCCATTAGGCCCATCACCACCCAATATGAGGGGGATTTTATTTACACTAAATTATTAAGTACTTTCAATTTCTCAATACACTTTATTCAATTACTTAAAATTTTATGTTACTCTCGGTGCACCCTATAATTTTTCCTAAATTATCCTTCAAGCACACCAAAATAAGAACAAAGTCATCATGTTCAAATTTACAATTCCAAACAATATGATTTGGTTCAGACTTTCAAGTCCGAACATGTTGACTTTGTCTGTATCTCAAAATTCAAATAATAATGATATTAAATAGGTTGAATATTTGTTTTTACGTATAAAAAAAAAATACCTTGATATTTATGTGAATATATATATTTTATTGACAAAAACAAGTATATTGATGAACCATCACAAATACAATTGAGATAATACATCAAGCCGTTGAGAAAGATACATAAAGTTTGAGTTATCAAACAGAATTATGAATCAATTTAAAGCAAGTACGGAAAGATAAAAGTCAAGGAGAGAATCTAAAACATGTTAAAAAAAAGGAGCGAATCTAAAACATTAAGCTTTCGTTTGGTAATGATTTTTTTAATTGGTTTTTTGATTTTTTAACTTTTTTAGCCTCAGATTTTTTTGTTCATTTGGTATTATTGATTGGCCTTTTTGGCTTTTTAGCTTTGGAATGGTGAATTTTTTTTTTGTCATGGGTGGGGTGGGTTGGGTTGGGTTGGGCTGGGCTCAAGTTTGCGGGCCATTAGGCCCATCACCACCCAATATGAGGGGGATTTTATTTACACTAAATTATTAAGTACTTTCAATTTCTCAATACACTTTATTCAATTACTTAAAATTTTATGTTACTCTCGGTGCACCCTATAATTTTTCCTAAATTATCCTTCAAGCACACCAAAATAAGAACAAAGTCATCATGTTCAAATTTACAATTCCAAACAATATGATTTGGTTCAGACTTTCAAGTCCGAACATGTTGACTTTGTCTGTATCTCAAAATTCAAATAATAATGATATTAAATAGGTTGAATATTTGTTTTTACGTATAAAAAAAAAAATTACCTTGATATTTATGTGAATATATATATTTTATTGACAAAAACAAGTATATTGATAAACCATCACAAATACAATTGAGAGAATACATCAAGCCGTTGAGAAAGAGACATAAAGTTTGAGTTATCAAACAGAATTATGAATCAATTTAAAGCAAGTACGGAAAGATAGAAGTCAAGGAGAGAATCTAAAACATGTTTAAAAAAAGGAGCGAATCTAAAACATTAAGCTTTCGTTTGGTAATGATTTTTTTGGTTGATTTTTTGATTTTTTGACTTTTTTAGCCTCAGATTTTTTTGTTCATTTGGTATTATTGATTGGCCTTTTTGGCTTTTTAGCTTTGGAATGGTGAATTTTTTGTTTGTCATTTTGTATTCTTTGACTCTTTTTTTTTTTTTTTTTCTTTTTTTTTTTTTTTTGCCATTTTATGATTTTTTAGCCTAACTCAAAAACTAAGCAACCCCTAAAAATAATACAAAAAATCAGAATAAGAAAAGCAGCATAATACTCCCAAAAATATCCAAAAAATCAGAATAAGAAAAGCAGCATAATACTCCCAAAAATATCCAATCTCGATCAAGAGTAAGCAGGGAGATGAAATAGCCGGGTCGGGAAGGATGGAAGGTTCATCTTTTGAATGTGATGTTTTTTTTTTTAATCATACCTTTAGATATGATGTTTAATAGGTTGTGTCAAAAAATAATTTTCATTATTATTATTGTCATTGTTTAATTTTGTTCAAATTTTTTTTTTTATTCACAAAGATAAGAAATAATATAATATTAATGATAATGATGAATTTTAGTGGAGTAGTTTGGAGTTTTGTAGTGAGAAAGAAGAGGAAAAGAAAATAATGAAACTTGAGGAAGAAGATCAAAAATATGTATATGTGATTAGGGTGTAGCATGAGAAAAAAATTCATTTTAAGGTTTAATATATAATGTTCTTATTAATAAATTTACCTCAAGACATAATGGCCTTATTTGGTTTGTTTTTCTGAAAATTTTTTGGGAAAAATTCTTTACAAACAAATTTTCAAGAGTAATCAAACCAAACAATTTTTTCCAAAAAAAAATCTCAAAATTTTGTTTGGTTACCTACTTTCCAAAATCACTCTTTCTCAGACACATCAAATCAATCATTTTTTTTTAAAACTCTCTTCCAAAATAATTTTTCAAAACCATTTCTGAAAAAAGATAAACCAAACAAATTTTCGTACTTTTTATCTCAAAAATTACTTTACAAACACAAATCAAACACACTTAGGCTTCGTTTGGGAAGCCATAGTTTGGGTTTTTTTGGTTATTTTAGACACAAAAAACAAAATAGGCTATTTTAGCTATAACAAACAAAACATCACATCCAACCCATAATCATTACATTCTTCTCTCACAAAAAAAATTCAAAAAAGTCAAAAAGTTAAAAAGCCCTTCCCAAACTAAGCTTTTAAGTCCAGGCTAAAATAGCCAAAAAAGCCAAAAAACTAAAAAGTCAGCCCACTTCCCAAACGGAGGCTTAATAAGAATTAAAATTTCAATATTTTAGTTAGACGTACTTAATGATTTTTTAAGTATAAATAGAATCCCACAACATAAAAGTACAAGATAGATCCACACGGCTAGTTAGTGCTACACATCAATTAATATACTAATTAATATGTCATTATGACATCAACATTTTAAAATTATAAATATACTCACCATACAAATTATAAAAATTATGTTACGTAATTCATTAGTACATATACGTATAACTTTATTTAATAATAATAATAATAATAAAATAAAAAATAAAAAAGAAGAAAAAAACTTTCAACCAAACAATCACAAAGTCGCCTTCTTCTTCTTCTTCTTCTTCTTCTTCCTCTTTCTCGATTTTCCATTTTTGTTTTTTGGTGTTTGATTTTGGAATCAGCAACAAGCAATCACCGATCATGTCTTCGGTAATCTCTCAGCTCTCTTCCTTCTCTTCCATCAGCCGCAGACTACATCTACACACTCGGCCATGCCCCACTTTTCGTTCCGAGGTGAGAGTACTGCTTTCAATACCCCCCAAACTTTCTCAGATTCCGTTTGGTTCCCAAGAAAATGCTAGAAAATTTAAAAATTTTGAATTTTTTTTTGCTGGATTATATGCGATTTGATGTGGTAAAACCTCTACTCAACTCTTCAGTCATTTTTCGCCTCCAATTTGGGGGTTTTATACTTGTATTTGTATTATGATGTACAAAACAAATTCAAATTTCCAGTTTTTTATTCTGAGGATTATTATGTCTGCAAGAAAAGAATAGGTTAAATTACACTGCTAGTCCTAAAATATGGTTTCAATTTGCTCAATTTTGACCATTAATTTTAGATTTTACGTCAATTTGGTCCTATTGATAATGCGGTTAGGATTTTTCACAGAAAATTTTCTCTGAATTGGTTGAGGTTAAGTCACTGAATTGATCAAGTTTACAATTTTGCTCCTAAAAGCATGACAAGTGCTATTTTTGTGTGCATTTGCCGTAAAAAAAAATGCTAAAAATTGGAATCAATTGGATTAATTTGAGACAAAGTATAAAAATTCCGGGTCAAAATCGATCAAATTGAAATACAATGACCAAAATGACACAAGAGCCAAAGTAGAGGAACTAACAATTTAATTTGCCCAAAGGAAAATAAATTTAATTTATTTCTCAATATGAATATTTTCATTTGCTAAAATTTTGTGGAAGTTTTACTAATGAGTGCTTTATATTATTGTTCTAATTTATAGATTTTGGAAGTAGTACCAACTGTTGGAAATCTTTATTTTGTAGGTACTGGTTGTCATGAACAGTGATGGAAGTGGCACAGGGATATCAGGTTCACAGACTAAGACCAATCTGAGTTATACTGCAGATGCTTCAAGATCACATATTGAGGGGTCAGCAAAGTCCTACGCAACTACATCAGAAAATGGCAATGGAAAAGGGATGAATGAGCCAGTACAAGGACATGCTGTCACCCAACAGATAAGGGCAGCAAAGATCCATGATTTTTGTCTTGGCATTCTTTTGGTGAGTGTGCTTTAATGTTGGTTTAAAACTTCTGGTTTTTCCTCACCCAGAAAAGCCTTTTAGTGTGTCCTGGCTGATGTGAAAACTACTTGTTAGATGAGCTATAATGTAACTCAAGCACCTTCATTTATGAAATTGGTTAAGGATTTGTTGAACATGTTTTCATTCTCCCAATTTACGCATTAAATTCATAAAGTATGTAAAATGCATATATTCAAAAATCATTTGCAACTTGCAACCTTTATTATTACTTACATAGACATCATAGAGAAGTGACTTAGCGTCACAATCAAAGGCCTCTTCTATTCTTTACACTTTCTTGGTTTCACCATACTCACATCATTTTTGGTTTATATAATACTTCAGTTTTATGATGTTCTTGTTGTTATTGTGATATGGTGGGAATTCTTGCTAGTTTAGCATGTGTAGAATGTTATGTATCTTATGATGTTTTGAGATTGTGCACCAAAGTGAATCACTATCTTTATTGTATGTATGCATAAATACATAGCACATAATATCATGAGTCAAGTGATGATGTGACCTTGGACATTCGAGAGTAAAAACGAGACCTGGGCCCACAACATTGTAAATTTTTGTCATTTCTCGTATAATATGTTTGACTAATTCAAACAATTGAATGACATTGACATGGGAATCTCATTATTCTTGGTAATATGATTCCCATTCCCTCTGCTTGATTAGTCTTTGGAGTTATGGACAACATTTTTTGTGGTGTTTCCATACTTGATCAAATCTTAAAGTGCTTTCAGACTCTAGAGAATTCTTAAGGTGCTTAAAGGAGATCATATATTTAATCATAGTTTCTATGCTCAAAAGGATATGTGATAATGGTATCTTTAACATAGGGTTTGTCAAGTCTCTTACCTTAGCCATTTCTCGTGGCAGTGAGGCTTTTGCCTCGTATGTATTTTGCATGACACATGCCTTCCAGCAAGGCATGAGGTGTCACAGAACATGCAAACTAGTGTTAGCTTGATGTGTCGATGAAGTTGTGTGACTGCACTATAGGCTTCTGCCAGATTTTTGCAATGATAACCACCAGGTGGTAGGCATGAAGACATGGCAAGCACAAGGTGGTAAGCCAAGGTGGCAAGCATGAGGTGGGAACGTGCTTGCTTGCATGCATGGAGAGGTGCTGTTGCCAATTGTGCCGTCCACTTGAGCAGTTAGCTTTTTTTTGTCTATCAACATATAGAAATTATATAGGTTGTAAAGGTTAAAGAAATAGAAAGAAATGGAGGAGCTGAAGATAGGTTACGTTCGAGCCTTACAATGGGAACATATGAGGAATATCACCTAGAGGCTGTTAATACAACCCCCTTTTTTTTTTTGGTGCGTGTGTGTGTGTGGTAATTTTGGAAACTTTGGAATCTTATCATGCACAATTGCATATTTTGCAATTTTGAGGATTCAATTGATTTATAAACTTTATGCTGGTAATTTGACTTTCTGTCTGCTTCTAATTTAGTTTAGGACTGGCTTTGCTGCAGAGGGTAGTAGACAGCTAGGTAAAGATAGGGAAGGTGTAAGTTTATGGTTTTGTGTTCTTAGCTTCATTGCTGGTTCTTTATCCTAAACAGTTTTCTGTGTTCATATAGACTATTGAATTGTTAGACTGCATCATAAGTTAGTGTAATGATGATCCATGCTAATTTTATGTTCAGTGTATCCAACATAGGAACAAATTTTTTGGCTTGTTTGTTCATAGGTGTCGGTTTCTTGTGCTAACTAATTGGTTTTATGTTGTCACTTATTGATTGTGTCTTTCCATAGGTGGGCTTTTTTTAAGTGGGGGGCTTATTGGTTTTATATTTACAAGAAATCTTACTACTTTACGCACTGATGCACTCTTTGGAGCTGCTTTGCTATCCCTCAGCACCTTAAGCTTAAAGGTCTGGAGACAAGGAAAATCTAGCTTCCCATTCATACTAGGACAAGCAGGTATCTACTTCTCTTGTGATTTAAGATATCATGATATCGACTTCTTTTATATTTTTTTGCTCTTAGATTCTTGTATCTTTTGTTGGTTTCAATTTTATGTTTCTTATCTAGAAGAAAAACATAAACTATGCAGCCCTCTGAATGGTAATTTTGTTGCACTTTTTATGGCTGCCATTGGACTAGCTTGTGAGAAGATTTTAGTGGTTCATTTATACTCTACACTGTAACTTTTCTTCTCAACTAATAGTCCAGGACAAGTTTGTTAGATGAATTATATAAATTTTTTTATAAGTAATGTGTATATATTAATGAGGCAAGCAAAAAGGAACACAACAACCTATGTCACCTATACATCAATCTACTCAAAAGATTAAAAATTTCCAAAATTGGTTAAAAACCAAATTTACATCGCCCAAGAACCAACTATACTAAAAATGGTTTTTCAATTTAAAGATGGGATATTCCAAGCCATCAAACGTACTCTGATTATCCTTTCTCCAAATGATCCACATCAAACCCAAAGGAAGACTGGATGAAGTGGTCTTAATCAAAGTAGACCTCACCCCTTTTGATAAATACCGTCTCTTCCAGCCTGCCAGACGCATCTGGAACCTTTCTACCTCTGAGTTCCAAACTGAGTTTGCCTCAAAAGAGGATCCAAGAGGGAGACCAAGTCTAAAGAAGGTAAATGATCAACTTTACAGCCAAAAAATATTTTTCAAAAAAAAAAAAAAAACTTTACAGCCAATGCCCCCACAGGGGGAACCTCTCCAACTGGAATAAGGCTAGACTTTCCCTAATTTACTTTCAAGCTTGAAACTACCTTGAAGCAAATAAGCAACATTGATTACCCAAATACTGGGCCTCAGTCCCACAAAAAATAATAGTGTCATTTGCGAGCAAGTGAGAGACCTTTAAAAGGGGAGCCATCAAGCTGCTCAATGTGAAAACCCTCCAAGAAACCACCTTGCACTGCCTCTCCATCATCCCACAATGTCATTATTATCCTCAAAGATACTAAGGCCTCGTTTGGGAACAGGCTAATTTAGTAACTTTTTGGCTATTTGGCTAAAAAGGTAGGTAAAAAAAACTTGTATGTTTGGGATGACTTTTTGGCTAATTACGAAAAGATGTGCAAAAAGTAGAGAGAAAAGAGAATTTTTGACTTTTTGGTATGGGTTGTTGGCTTTTTGGCTAATTTAGTAACTTTTTGGCTAATTGGCTAAAATAGCCTCTTGCCAAACGAGGCCTAAGTATGGCTCTTTCATACTTCTTGTAAGCTCCAAAATACACAGTTTGCCAAGTGTTTGAACAAGTTCATAAGGTCAATGATTTTCCATCATTTACATGTTCTAGTAACCGGTGTGCTTGACTTCCATGTGCATTGTAAAAACAATCAAGATAAGTGTTTTATAAATTTATGTTGATCGTCATTTCTCTTCATTTGGATGTTCTATTTCTGATCTTGCAGTAATTGCTGTGGCACTTCTTTGGAAGAACTTTCAGACCTACTCTATGGCAGTTTATCTCATCACCACTACATCATTTTCCTTCATTGGCTAGCTTATTCTTTATATTTAACTATAAGAATGATATTGTGATTGCAGACAAAGAAACTGTTCCAAACAGGCTTTTATGCTGCCATTAGGTACTTAAATATCTCTCAGTGTTTCTATTGACGAAGTTTAGTTACTTTCCGTCATGAGCTATATCTTGCTAAAACGGTCTTCTGATCGTTATTTGTGTCAGTGCTGCAATGCTATGCTTCTATTCCTATGTGGTTTTGTCGGGAGGAAACCCACCACCAAAAAAGTTGAAATCATCTGCCGTTGCCCCATCATAATCAGAACCAACGAAGCTCATATCCATACAGTGTCTCCTATCCTTTTTTATTTTTATGTATTTTCTTGTTTTGTTCCTCTCTCCAAACTCAAGTTGGTTAGTTTCTATCCTCCTTGAGTTTGCGGGGGGCTGTTAGAATTTACCAATTTGCTCCTCCACCTACCATCTCCACTAGCACCCACTTCACCTACCACCTCCACTACACTACACCTACTACCACCTTCTCTTCTATATATAGGAGTTGTAATACATAACACAAATAAATCAATCAGAAACCAATCAATAATACATCAATATATATATACATAATTTGTTCTCTCTCTCTTTCTATATGTATTAATTTTAACAATCATGATATCGACATCTTTTATATTTTTTTGCTCTTAGATTCTTGTATCTTTTGTTGGTTTCAAATTTATGTTTCTTATCTAGAAGAAAAACATAAACTATGCAGCCATCTGAATGGTAATTTTGTTACACTTTTTATGGCTGCCATTGGACTAGCTTGTGAGAAGATTTTAGTGGTTCATTTATACTCTACACTGTAACTTTTCTTCTCAACTAATAGTCCAGGACAAGTTTGTTAGATGAATTATATAAATTTTTTTATAAGTAATGTGTATATATTAATGAGGCAAGCAAAAAGGAACACAACAACCTATGTCACCTATACATCAATCTACTCAAAAGATTAAAAATTTCAAAAATTGGTTAAAAACCAAATTTACATCGCCCAAGAACCAACTATACTAAAAATGGTTTTTCAATTTAAGGATGGGATATTCCAAGCCATCAAACGTACTCTGATTATCCTTTCTCCAAATGATCCACATCAAACCCAAAGGAAGACTGGATGAAGTGGTCTTAATCAAAGTAGACCTCACCCCTTTTGATAAATACCGTCTCTTCCAGCCTGCCAGACACATCTGGAACCTTTCTACCTCTGAGTTCCAAACTGAGTTTGCCTCAAAAGAGGATCCAAGAGGGAGACCAAGTATAAAGAAGGTAAATGATCAACTTTACAGCCAAAAAATATTTTTCAAAAAAAAAAAAAAAACTTTACAGCCAATGCCCCCACAGGGGGAACCTCTCCAACTGGAATAAGGCTAGACTTCCCCAAATTTACTTTCAAGCTTGAAACTACCTTGAAGCAAATAAGCAACATTGATTACCCAAATACTGGGCCTTAGTCCCACAAAAAATAATAGTGTCATTTGCGAGCAAGTGAGAGACCTTTAAAAGGGGAGCCATCAAGCTGCTCAATGTGAAAACCCTCCAAGAAACCAGGGAGGTTCTATTTGCACACACCATATCCTCTTTTCTCACACAATGAGAGAATATGTTGGAGAGTTGTGTGTGGAAGATGTGTATAGAGAGAGGTGTGTGTGTGTAAATAGATGCTCCCAAGAAACCACCTTGCACTGCCTCTCCATCATCCCACAATGTCATTATTATCCTCAAAGATACTAAGTATGGCTCTTTCATACTTCTTGTAAGCTCCAAAATACAGAGTTTGCCAAGTGTTTGAACAAGTTCATAAGGTCAATGATTTTCCATCATTTACATGTTCTAGTAACCGGTGTGCTTGACTTCCATGTGCATTGTAAAAACAATCAAGATAAGTGTTTTATAAATTTATGTTGATCTTCATTTCTCTTTGTTTGGATGTTCTATTTCTGATCTTGCAGTAATTGCTGTGGCACTTCTTTGGAAGAACTTTCAGACCTACTCTATGGCAGTTTATCTCATCACCACTACATCATTTTCCTTCATTGGCTAGCTTATTCTTTATATTTAACTATAAGAATGATATTGTGATTGCAGACAAAGAAACTGTTCCAAACAGGCTTTTATGCTGCCATTAGGTACTTAAATATCTCTCAGTGTTTCTATTGACGAAGTTTAGTTACTTTCCGTCATGAGCTATATCTTGCTAAAACGGTCTTCTGATCGTTATTTGTGTCAGTGCTGCAATGCTATGCTTCTATTCCTATGTGGTTTTGTCCGGAGGAAACCCACCACCAAAAAAGTTGAAATCATCTGCCGTTGCCCCATCATAATCAGAACCAACGAAGCTCATATTAGATTTTGAGGTTTACAGTTTGTTTGTTTTTTTTTTGGCTTGTGGCTTTCAAGTGAATGTGAAGGTTGTTTTGTTTGTTTGACATGAAGACTTGGTCAGTCATGAGAAGAGGGGAAGTGTAATCATAGAACCGGGTTCTAATTTGTAGGTTGCTTAAGTGAAAATTAGAAGAAAGCTGTTTGCCGTGTCACCTATGTTCTAAAAAATAAAAGGAGGAACAGTTTGATATGTTCTCATGTAATCTACATATGGATTGATATAACTTGCATGCAAATTGTTGAAAGGAACTTTTGAATGGGTGAAATGATAGTGTTATTGAAATATGACTAACTTGCAAAATAGTTTCATGCAGTCGGTTGAAAAAAAAAAGGCTACAAAGTTTTGCAATTTTTTTTTGATGGGTAATTAAACAAAAAATGGTTTTTTTCCTTTACTAATATGTATCTATTTCCTTCTTATTTTCCTAAACCACTAAGAAATTACTCAGTTCTAAAACTATCGGTTTAGATTTGGGATTGATCAAATTTTTCTCTCAGGTGTCTCACTTTCAAAATAAGAAATTTCACATTTTTTCCCATGATGAAATGATTTCAAATCATCATCTAATGTAAAAATAATCGTGGATATCACACTTACTGATATTTTGCCTTTTTTGCTTTTAAAAAACTAAATAGTCATAAAAGTTTAAAGGAAATTAGTGCTCTACTTATTCCTCGCTTGAGCATTATCATGTTTTAATGTAGACAACTACATTTTATTTTTGATAACTTGTTTAAAGAAAAAAAAATTGAATTTTCATAATGGTGTGTTTTATTCTACTTTTACAAATTTTCATTAAAGTATGAATTATATTTTTATAATCAATTTTAATTTATTTAAAATATTATTTTTATATTATATAAGTTTACAAATTATATTAAACTATAATATAACCAATTGAATAAACATTATGGCATAAGATTTATTATTTTTTTATTATCTTACATTTGGTAAACAATTCAAAAAAGCTTGTTAAATATATTTGGTAAATAACGGAAACAAGTTTTACTATCCAAAAAAAGGGAAACAAGTTTATTATTACATCAATTTTTTTTAATTTTTAATTTTAAATCCTAAATCTTAAACAACTTTACATACTAGTTTTTTGAATCCTAAAAAAGCTTAATATTTATATCTCTTCTAGTATTTTTATGTGAATTATTACCAAATATATTTTTCAAAATATAAAATTATATAAACTAATGAATCGAATGTCATAACTCTTTTAATCTGATTATACTTTTTTATTTAGAGATTTCTCTAAATTTCTACAATTAAAGAAAATAATTTAAATTGATAAAATTAGAATAAAAATATGATTATGAAAATTAAAATTTTTTTTAAAAAAAAATTAATTATAGGGTTAAAATAATATTAGGAGAAAACTAATTGATAGTATTTTTTTTTTTTTTTAAATTTCCCAAAACTTAAACCCTAGTGTTGAAAGTTGATTGCAGACAAAGAAACTGTTCCCAACTGGCTTTTATGCTGCCATTAGGTACTTAAATATCTCTCTGTGCTTCTATTGACGAAGTTTAGTTACCTTCCGTCATGAGCTATATCTTGCTAAAACGGTCTTCTGATCTTTTATTTGTGTCAGTGCTGCAATGCTATGCTTCTATTCCTATGTGGTTTTGTCGGGAGGAAACCCACCACCAAAAAAGTTGAAATCATCTGCCATTGCCCCATCATAATCAGAACCGACGAAGCTCATATCAGACTTGAGGTTTACAGTTTGTTTTTGTTTTTTTTTTTTTTTGGCTTGTGGTTTTCAAGTGAATGTGAAGGTTGTTTTGTTTGTTTGACATGAAGACTTGGTCAGTCATGAGAAGAGGGGAAGTGTAATCATAGAACCGGGTTCTAATTTGTTGGTTGCTTAAGTGAAAATTAGAAGAAAACTGTTTGCCGTGTCAGCTGTGTTCTAAAAAATAAAAGAGGAACAGTTCGATATGTTCTCATGTAATCTACATATGGATTGATATAACTTGCATGCAAATTGTTGAAAGAAACTTTTGAATGGGTGAAATGATAGTGTTATTGAAATATAACTAACTTGCAAAATAGTTTCCTGCAGTCAGTTGAAAAAAAAAAGAAAAAAAAAAGGGCAGGCTACAAAGTTCGAACCTTGGCTTCTCTTTGCCTTTTGTGCCGCGAATGAGTTCAGAGAAGTCGAATTCTTCTGCAGTTTCGGGGCGTTCGAAGCCGAGGCTTGTGAAGATTAGGAGACAGATGGGTTCTCAGCAAGGGAAGTCTTCAAATAATTCGGGTTTGAAACCTTTTCAGTCTGTTTTGGAGAATTCTAATCAAGTTAACAATGCTACTAGTAGTTCATCAAATGGGTTCAATTCTTTGGTTGGGGATGTGGATTTTGTGTTTGGTTCACATAAGAACAGTTTGATGTCGAATTTGAATTCGGAAAAGGAACAATGTACTGGAAGTGCAGAAGGGTTTGGGAGCTTCAATAATGTGGGTTTTGTGTTTGGTGTGAATAAGAGTAATTCGGATTCGAATTCACATTCAGAGCATAAAGAATCTAGTGGAGGTGTGGGAGAATTGGGTGCCGATGTGGGATTTGTGTTTGGTGCTAATAAGAGTAGTTCTTTAACGAATTCGGACTTGGAAAGGAGACCATCCAGTGGAAATGTGCAACAGTTGGGTGCTGATGAGTTTGGGGAACTCAATTATGGGGGTTTTGTGTTTGGTGCCAAAAAGAGTAATTCGGATTCGAATTCACATTCAGAGCATAAAGAATCTAGTGGAGGTGTGGGAGAATTGGGTGCCGATGTGGGATTTGTGTTTGGTGCTAATAAGAGTAGTTCTTTAACGAATTCGGACTTGGAAAGGAGACCATCCAGTGGAAATGTGCAACAGTTGGGTGCTGATGAGTTTGGGGAACTCAATTATGGGGGTTTTGTGTTTGGTGCCAAAAAGAGTAATTCGGATTCGAATTCACATTCAGAGCATAAAGAATCTAGTGGAGGTGTGGGAGAATTGGGTGCCGATGTGGGATTTGTGTTTGGTGCTAATAAGAGTAGTTCTTTAACGAATTCGGACTTGGAAAGGAGACCATCCAGTGGAAATGTGCAACAGTTGGGTGCTGATGAGTTTGGGGAACTCAATTATGGGGGTTTTGTGTTTGGTGCCAAAAAGAGTAATTCGGATTCGAATTCACATTCAGAGCATAAAGAATCTAGTGGAGGTGTGGGAGAATTGGGTGCCGATGTGGGATTTGTGTTTGGTGCTAATAAGAGTAGTTCTTTAACGAATTCGGACTTGGAAAGGAGACCATCCAGTGGAAATGTGCAACAGTTGGGTGCTGATGAGTTTGGGGAACTCAATTATGGGGGTTTTGTGTTTGGTGCCAAAAAGAGTAATTCGGATTCGAATTCACATTCAGAGCATAAAGAATCTAGTGGAGGTGTGGGAGAATTGGGTGCCGATGTGGGATTTGTGTTTGGTGCTAATAAGAGTAGTTCTTTAACGAATTCGGACTTGGAAAGGAGACCATCCAGTGGAAATGTGCAACAGTTGGGTGCTGATGAGTTTGGGGAACTCAATTATGGGGGTTTTGTGTTTGGTGCCAAAAAGAGTAATTCGGATTCGAATTCACATTCAGAGCATAAAGAATCTAGTGGAGGTGTGGGAGAATTGGGTGCCGATGTGGGATTTGTGTTTGGTGCTAATAAGAGTAGTTCTTTAACGAATTCGGACTTGGAAAGGAGACCATCCAGTGGAAATGTGCAACAGTTGGGTGCTGATGAGTTTGGGGAACTCAATTATGGGGGTTTTGTGTTTGGTGCCAAAAAGAGTAATTCATTTACAGCAAATCTGTATAACGGGTTAAATAAAAAGTTGGAATTTTGTGAAAAGAGTATTTCAATCAAGGACAAGACAGGGAAGAAGACGAGGAGAAAGTTGAGGCAGGCTATTCCAGTTCAGCAGCAATCTAGGCAAAATTGTGTGTCAAAAGAAGGCTCCCAACAAAACCCAGACTCTCCTGCATGCTATTCACCCATGGATTTTTCTCCCTATCATGATAACAGTTGTGCACCCTCCGCTGTGAATGCAACAAGTTCTACATGTGCAAGTGATGAAGATTTGGCAGCTGCAAGAGAAGGACCTAATACCAGCGAAGATGACAAAAAATGTAGAGGGAAACATGATGAAGTTTCCAAGAATCATTATGAAAGATTTGTTGCTCATTCTTCTTTAGAAGAAGCTGAAACTGAATGCAGTAATTTCAAATCTGAACAGAAAACCATTAACAGGGGTGGTGGTGTTGCGGAAGATAGTGTCAATTCAGACAGGAAGAGGGAAGAAAGTGAGTGTGTAAAGCAATTTTGTTTTGCCTCTAGTGTAGAAGATATCAGTGTGAGAAATTTTACCTTCTCTGTGTCCTCTGCACAAGATAACTTTTCAGCGACGAAGCGCCAAAACCGAAAGAAATATAGGATGAAAGTTGGTCATGGTCCAAATTGTACCACTCCAAGTCAAAAAGTTGACACTGCATCTTCCTCTGTCCAATCTTCACCTCTTGATAGTGGTTATTTGCATCGGATACGGGCACAGGATAAAGAAGGGGATATATTTAGTTCTCAAAGGAAGGGGGAGAACAAATCTAAAGGAGGTGAAGAACATGACAAGAAGGGGTCCACTGCTGCAACTCTGGAAGCCTGTGAGAAGTGGCGAATTAGGTGCTTCTTTCATCATAGTAGTTCATCGGCTTTTGAAACTTCTTTTTCTTTGTTTGTTTTCTAGATTTTTGCTTTAGTTTTCAAATATTATATCTGTAATTGCCGTTACACAATTGGTTCCGCTGCTATGATTGTATCTTTACTTTGAACGCATCAAGTTGTTACTCATGTTTGAAAGTTATGATTTTTATCAGGGGAAATCAAGCTTATGAGAAAGGGTACATGTCCGAAGCTGAGGAATTTTACACAAAGGGTAGAAACTGCGTCCTTCATAGTGAGAAGTCAGGATGCTGTGTTGAGCCACTTGTGCTGTGTTATAGCAACCGTGCTGCTGCACGAATGTCTCGTGGACGGATGAGGGAAGCCCTAGGGGACTGTATGATGGCTGCTTCACTGGATCCCACCTTTCAGAAAGTCCAAATTAGAGCTGCAAAGTAAGACTTTATTTTATGCTCTCTCATATTTTGTGTGCAAAATCGACTAGGTCTGAATTTTATGCCTAATTGTTTTGGGGGCATATAATGACAAATCACTTGATGATCATATCTACTAAGCACTAGCGGAAGGAGGTAACAAGGAAGATATTGTTTAGAAATATCGGGTCTCTTGAACACAGAAATATTGTCCCAGACTTCATTTTAATCCTGAAAAATATCATGGTAACTGACTGGAAATTAATAAAAGCTATGCACAGTGCTATCTGAAACGTCTAAAAGGGGGATGGTTTTTGGATTTGCCATCTGGGATAAATGTGAACCTGGATTGGGAGAAATCCCAAGCTTGGAAGAGTAAACTTATGGCTGAGGTGGCTTTGTGTTAAGAGTTACATGAATCATATTTAGCAGTTGGAAGATGAGATCTACCATGCAGAAATGTTTTAGTAATCTGGTCCAAAAGACTTGTTTTCGGTGATGGAACTCGTCTCAATGCCTCTTTGTTGGTTTTTGAGTACCACCTGGGACAAATATACCGGTGATGCAAACAGTTTTGCTTCAAGCCCCTGGTGATGTGGTGGATTGGAAAGTTCTGTGCCCCAAAAGATTTCTTTTTTGGTACATCGGAGGTTATAGTCTGGGAAAGAGGGGAATCTTGTCTGTCTAGACACAGGGAAATGAGAGATGAAAATCTGCAACTTTTGTTGCATTTTATCATTGTCACAGCGAGAGAAATGGGAACTGGTGATGCAACTTTTCTTTCTTGTTTCTTGAAAATCTGAAATTCTGTCTAGAGTTCTTAAAGGCATTAGTTTTTTTATTTAATTTTTAATATGTAAAAGAATTGTTCCTTCCTCACAATTCAAATTTTTTGTGGGTATACACTTCTTTCATTTTTTTGTAGTTTGACAAGGAGTTATCTGTATTTTTTTTTATAAAGAATATTCTAAAATGACCATATTTAATTTGGAGATTATGAATACTTTATATCAAGCATCTTATCCGTTATTTAACTAATTTATGTTTGATTTATTTATTTATTTATATTTATTTTTGCATGTTGAATTAAAGTCTACAGTTGTCCATGTTAGATATTCTATACTGTTGCTCCATGTTAGATATTCTATTCAGTTGTTGCATGGATTTCTTTTAGTGTTGTTGCCATTGTGAGAGACTTGACATACAAATTAGGTATTTTGTTATCGTTATTATTATTGGTTTTTGATAAGTTGTTGATTTTATTATTTTTTCTAGTTGTCATCTTGCGCTGGGGGAAGTTGAAGGTGCACTCCAATATTTCAGCAAGTGCGTGGAATCAGGGAGTCATGTTTGTTTGGACCGTAGAATTATAATAGAAGCAGCCAATGGCCTACAAAACGCTCAGGTACCGCATTTGATCTTTAACATTGTTGGTGTTGCTCTATTAGGGGTTATTTGTAATGTTTTCTTTTCTTTTTTGTTTTTGTTTTTACTTTTATTTCTATTGGAAAATGGTAACAAAAACTTGTTTGGTATGTTGTTTTTGTTTTGATAAAAGTGCAATAGATTAAAAAATTTGGAACAAAAAAGGCGTCTTATTTTTAGTTTTTTTTCAAAACAAATTTCACTCCCTGAAAATTTCTTTTGTTTACCAAAAAAATGTTGTCTTTGGAAACCATCTTTTCAGTTAATTTCTTTGTCAATACAAATGATACTGTGAAAGAAAAAACCATTGAACATCTGTTGGATTAGAAGATTGATATCAAAGAGAATAGATCAATTTAATTTGATCTAGAAGGGGGGGATAAAAAACCCCTCAGTGCTGTTCCTTTAAGTGACTATTCCAGACCTTAAGGGCATGTTTGTTTGGGCGGACTGGATTAGCATTCCCATGACTAATAATCTTGGGATTACGAATCCGTTGGGATTATGTATCCTATCCTATCTTAACTAAAAGTCAAGTTTAAAATAATTAGTCCGTACTTCAATTGTTTAACCAAACATCGGATTAATAATTTTATTGGACTATTAGTCAAAAAAAATTAGCTTTTTAAAATTTTTTTTCCCCCCCTTAAATTTTTTTTTTTTTCCCTTTTTTTTTTTTTTTTTTTTTTTTTTTTTTGTTTTTTGAATGGCCTTGTGAAACACAAAATAGAACAAGAAATAGATACAAAAATAAGTTTCTATGGCACATGTTGGAGAAAGGAGGGGGAGGGGAGGAGGGGCACGAAGAACCATAACATATCAAGGTTTTGGTGTGCCAAACTAGGGATCATCTTATTGGACCCAAGTAATACCCACAAAAAATCTGTTCTGACCTTTTCCAAACAGCATCATAAGTATCTGTTAGAAACTGTTTTTTTGGTGTCGGTCCATGGTTCTGTGCTCCTTGCGTACATAACACTCTCATTTAAGCCAAGTTGGTCAGACATGGTTGATGCATTAATGCCTAAGTTATTTCTCATTTCAGTGAATTGAGATTTTCCTGAAATTTGTAACATACTTGGTGTACTTTAAATCCTCCTCTATTCGGGTTCCAAGATAAACTATGTACTCATACTGAAATTGCTACTTTTTTTTTTTTTTTTCCCCTTTCTTTCTTCTAGAAATTAGTTATTTTTTAGATATTAAATAGGGATATAGTTGTTATGCTTGCATAGAATTGCAAAAATATTGCACCTAGCTGGACCCCTGTTTGAAAGAGAATTAAATTTGGTTTACTCTTGGATATAAAGTGCTTTGTCTCATCATGAAATATAGGATCAGTCACTAGCACTGTACATGGAAAAGAAGTAAGAAATATATGATATATCTATGTACTTTTAGGTAATCCTTATGTTGATTTGGTTTTTTACTACATTGAGACTTTTGACACTAAACTTTCCTTTTGTTCTTCTGCCTTACTAGTTTTTAAAGAGTTTGGATATGAGATCTGGAAAATTCCAATCTGTATTTTGAAGTTTAGAATTCATTTTGAGTTAATCCTGAAATTTTTTTACCATGGTTGATCATTTTTTTTGCCTTGTGATTTATGAAAGTTATATATACATGGACAAATGTTTTCTTCTCTCTGTGGATTTAGTACTTAGATAATGCTGTGCCTAACTGTGTGATATTCCTTACTGGCAGAAAGTGGCCGAGTGTATGAATCAGTGTGCCAAACTTTTACAACAGAGAACTTCCAATGCAGCAATTAGTGCTTTGGAAATAATTTCCCAAGTCTTGTCAATAAGTTCTTACTCAGAGAAATTACTTGAAATGAAAGGAGAGGCTCTTCTCATGGTCTGTACTGTATAACAACTTATATGATTCATTTTTCATTTTTTTCATTAGTTGATTTCATTAAGCCATGAAATCAATAAACTCCTATTTGTTGAAACTTTAATTTGTATGTCTGAATCCTGGTCTCAGCATTGGCTTTATTTTGTGTGGCATTTAACAGCTTCGAAGGTATGAAGAGGTGATTCAACTCTGTGAGCAGACTCTCGTTTTTGCTGAAAAGAATTTTGCAGTGGTAACTGGTGATAACAACATAGTGAATGTGGATGGTCTTGAATACAAGAACTCATCTATAAGGCTGTGGAGGTGGCTTCTGATATCCAAGTCCTACTTTTATCTGGGAAGGCTTGATGAGGCTCTTGATTTGCTAGAAAAGCAAGAGCTATTGAGATCTACTGAAGACAGGTAATACATAATTTTCATCATATGCAACTATTACTGCATTTCTGTTCAAATAGGACATACTCGTCTTCAGTTTGAATATGTTTTTTATTTATTATTTAGGCATGGAAGGAGCACTCGGGAGTCATCAATTCCATTTGCTGTCACTGTTCGTGAACTTTTACACCGCAAGGTATTCTGGTGGCCATTCTTTTAAGTTCATATAGTTGTTATGCTTGCATAGAATTGCAAAAATATTGCACCTAGCTGGACCCCTGTTTGAAAGAGAATTAAATTTGGTACACTCTTGGATATAAAGTGCTTTGTCTCATCATGAAATATAGGATCAGTCACTAGCACTGTACATGTGATTTAGAATTAGATGTCATTCATAATACTTTGTGCATATAGCATTTACTACTACTAGATATATACCTTAAAAAGACAAAATCAAACCAGAAAAGATATTAAAAACCCACAAACTAGATGATGGAATCTAAAATGTGAGGGACTCACTCGGCAAGCAGACAAGGGACGAGTGCTAGGAGCCGACAAAGAGTAGTGTTGGTCCAGTGGCGGAACGCATTAAAAGAATATCGAACGAATAAAATTGGTTGTGGAAAAGTGAGATCTTAGGAGCAAGAAACTCCTAGGGGGGCCTCACTCCCCGCTCTCTTCCAACCTTACTCTTCTATAGAGCCCTCGCTCTGCTGCCCTCATCCCCGCTCGGTGCAACTATGAGTGAGATACGAGCCATAAATTTTATTACCGATTCTCTGCATGGAATATAATTTATTACCAATTGTCTATAGGGCCTCACATAAATTTTATTACCAATTGTCTATAGAAGAATGCAGGGAATATAAACTCCTATGAGGGCTCTATACAAGCCTTCTCTGCATGGAATATAAATTTTTTTTACCAAATGTCTTGACTGCAGAGTGCAGGGAATGAAGCATTTCAGTCTGGGAGGCATACAGAAGCAGTGGAGCATTACACTGCCGTGGTATCAAGCAGTATTGAATCACGTCCTTTTGCGGCCATTTGTTTTTGCAACCATTTGTTTTTGCAACCGTGCTGCTGCACACCAATCTCTGGGCCAAATTGCTGATGCTATTGCCGACTGTAGTCCAGCCATAGCTCTTGATGGAAGTTACTCAAAGGTTGGCCTTTAAAGTGTGTACTATGCGAGGTGTTAGCTTATTTTTTGTTTTGTTGGAAGAGGTTATCAAATGATTCTTTTTAATTTTCTTTTTTATTGTACTTACTGTTCTTGTTTCTGTTTCTATTGTCGTTTTCTTTCTCTTTTCTGTTTCTGTCATTGTTTTCTTTCTCTCTTTTCCTTTTCTTCTTCTTATGCCTATTCAAGTCCGCCTCTACTAGCTGCCTGCGTTATAGGATTCAGCACTGGGCAATGGCATGATTTTTAGTTAATAAATTTTTATAGCCATTTCAGCATTTTGAACCTTTGCCTGCTGCTAATAACTCCTCAAGTGTAGGCTTTTTTTGTTTATTCTCATTCATGTGTGGTGTTTTGTCACAAGAGATTTGAGTAGGTTGCTATATTCTCCGCATGATATAGTTATGAGCATTATCAATTTCTCTTTTCTACATGGATTTTTTTCCAAACCCCTTCCTTTTGTAAGCTTCTCTTTATTGGTAATTCTGTGCCTGATTGGCCTGGTTCTTGTGCAGGCAGTTTCTAGAAGAGCCACCTTACATGAAACAATTAGGGACTATGAACAAGCAGCCAGTGACCTTCATGGACTGATCTCTCTTCTTGAAAAGCAATCACAAGAAAAGGTTCAACAGTGTGGCTCACCAGACGGGTCAGCTGGCGGCAATGTTAAAGAATTAAGACAAGCTCATCGCCGCCTTTCCTCAGTGGAAGAAAAGGCTAAAAAAGGAATCTCCTTTGATCATTACCTCATTTTGTAAGTCCTCTGCATTTGTGTTTCCTTATGATATATTTTATTTCCATGGACTTGGATTTCTGTTATGGAACTTGATTTATTACATAGATTTTGATTGCATATTGATACATTATAAAATTTCGTATTTTTATTTTTATTTTGGTAGTTTACATTAAGTTGTGACTATGTATCTAGATTTTTCATATTTGATTTTCACACACTTTTTGATGAATTTTAGCATTTTGGAATCAGGCTTGAAAAGTTCCTTATTCTGCCCCATTATTTAAGTTTATCTTTTCATTCATTTTCAGATCATATATTTATGCGTGTTAATTGCAAATGATGTCTGGTGTTGAAAAGATGTTACCAACAAAATCTATAAGCACATTTTGCATAATCAACTATTTCTTTGTAAGTTTTTTATTGAAATAAAAAAGAAATCTAGTAATTAACTCATGTTTTTCGGCTTGAGTGTTGGGTGTACAAATTTAATTCTAGCTGGGCCAGCAGCCTGGGATGGTCCTAAATCTAATTTTTTTCTAATTCCTATAGTCAGTTATCTGCATATGATGACAGTTTCTTTTTGTACAATATATATCATGTACTATGTATTAGTGGTTGTGCCCCTTTTGGCACTATTAGTTAACAATCTTTTACTTACATAACTTAATCCCTCCCAAAAAATGGTGCTAAAATATGCAAACTATATGTAATGCATGTGAATTTGACAAGTAGTTCTTTTTTCTTCTAGAAACATGAGCACATACAATTAGAACATACTAGAGAAATCTGGAATTAACTTTCTACTGTATATTTTATCTAGAATGTTGCCATCTCTTTCAACCCTTACTCTGATGATTCTTCCTGTTGTATCCAAGTGGAGTTGTCATGTTACTTTTGTGAGATTGAAGTCGTTGAGGCTACCATTGTGATTGTGACCTAATAACTCTGTATTGTAAGCTTCTAAAGTCATTCCTTTTTACAGGGGAATTAAACCGTCTGATGCAGCATCCGAAATAAAAAAGGCATATCGGAAAGCAGCACTGAGACATCATCCAGACAAGGTCTTTGGATTTCTTCAGTTGTTTGTTATCGCTCCGTTATCCTTGTCATTCTTTTTAATGAGTTTATGTTAATATAGGCTGGTCAATTCCTGGCAAGAAGTGAGAGTGGAGATGATGGACAACTCTGGAAGGAAATAGCTGATGAAGTGCACAAGGATGCTGACAGACTTTTTAAAATGATCGGAGAGGCATATGCTGTGCTTTCAGATCCGACCAAGGTATGCTATTAGCAAGATATGTTTTACTTGATGAGGTTTTCTATTAAATGTGGACCGGAACCTTAGAGTTTATTTAGCATACTTTGTTTTTAAACTGATCTGCTTATTGTGTTCTTTCATAATCATTCAAAAATATTTTTTAAAAAAATTCCATTTAAAAAAAATTAAAATCAAAAAATTAAAACTAAACACGATAATGAGTACATATGCGTATAACTTTATTCAGGGGTGTTTTGGTAACGTAATAAAAAGCCAACTTTTTAAATTTCTTTTAAATCACATTATTTGTCTATTTTTTTAACACAAAAAAATGCCAAAAAAAAAAAAACTCACACAACGTGGGTGTTTGGAAAATTGTTATTTTAGTAGTTTTTTAGTTTTTGATTATTTTAGGAAGTTAAAATTTTTGTGTTTGGAAATATAGTTGAATTTTTTTGTAATTGGATGTGATGTTTATGAGAAAAAAATTAAATAATTATAAATTTGATATGACGTTTTGTCTGAATTTATATTTTTTAATTTTTTAACCAATCTTGTATTTTAGGGGTGGTTTTGGATGTTCTAAATAACTGTATTTTTTAACTTTTATGAAATATAGATTGGGTTTGAAGTGATGTGGTAGAGAGGTGATATGACTTAAATAAGATGATGCGAATAGAATAGTAACTTTTTGACTCTTTTAATACATTACAAACAAGGCCTTACTGTTTTTTTAAACAAAAAACCAAAAAAAAAACGAACTTCCAAACACCCTCAAAAAAAACTTTTTACCCACCCCCAAAACAGTCTCCATAAAAAAAACAAGAAAAACACTTTCAACCAAACAATCACAAAATCGCCTTCTTCTTATTCTTCTTCCTCCTCTTTCTCGATTTTCCATTTTTGTTTTTTGGTGTTTTGATTTTGGAATCAGCAACAAGCAATCACCAATCATGTCCTCGGCAATCTCTCAGCTTTCTTCCTTCTCTTCAATCAGCCGCAGACTACATCTACACACTCGGCCATGCCCCAATTTTCGTTCCAAGGTGAGAATACTGCTCTGAAAACCCCCCAAACTTTCTCAGATTCCGTTTGGTTCCCAAGAAAATGCTAGAAAATTTAAAAATTTTGAATTTTTTTTTGCTGGGCTATATGTGATTTGATGAGGTAAAACCTCTAGTCAACTCTTCAGCCATTTTTCGCCTCCAATTTGGGGTTTTATACTTGTATTTGTATTATGATGTTCAAAATAAATTCAAATTTCCAGTTTTTTATTTTGAGGATTATTATGTCTGCAAGAAAAGAATAGGATAAATTACACAGGTAGTCCTAAAATATAGTTTCAATTTGCTCAATTTTTACCATTAATTTTAGATTTTACATCAATTTGGTCCAATTGATAATGCGGTTAGGATTTTTCACAGAAAATTTTCACTAAATTGGCTGAGGTTAAGTCACTGAATTGATCAAGTTTGCAATTTTGCTCCTAAAAGCATGACACCTGCTATTTATGTGTGCATTTGCCATTAAAAAAAAAAATCCTAAAAATTGGAATCAATTGGACTAATTTGAGACAAAGTATAAAAATTTCGGGTCAAAATTGATCAAATTGAAATACAATGACCAAAATGACACAAGGGCCAAAGTAGAGGGACTAACAATTTAATTTGCCCAAACGAAAATAAATTTAATTTATTTCTCAATATGAATATTTTCATTTGCTAAAATTTGGTGGAAGTTTTACTAATGAGTGCTCTATATTATTGTTCTAATTTATAGATTTTGGAAGTAGTACCAACTGTTGGAAATCTTTATTTTGTAGGTACTGGTTGTCATGAACTGTGATGGAAGTGGCACAGGGATATCGGGTTCACAGACTAAGACCAATCTGAGTTATACTGCAGATGCTTCAAGATCACATATTGAGGGGTCAGCAAAGTCCTATGCAACTACATCAGAAAATGACAATGGAAAAGGGATGAATGAGCCAGTACAAGGACATGCTGTCACCCAACAGATAAGGGCAGCAAAGATCCATGATTTTTGTCTTGGCATTCCATTTGGTGAGTGTGCTTTAATGTTGGTTTAAAACTTCTGGTTTTTCCTCACCCAGAAAAGCCTTTTAGTGTGTCCTGGCTGATGTGAAAATGTGAAAACTACTTGTTAGATGAGTTATAATGTAACTCATACACCTTCATTTATGAAATTGGATAAGGATTTGTTGAACATGTTTTCATTCTCTCAATTTACTCATTAAATTCATAATGTATGTAAAATGCATATATTCAAAAATCAGTTGCAACTTGCAACCTTTATTATTACTTACATAGACATCATAGAGAAGTGACTTAGCGTCACAATCGAAGGCACCTTCTATTCTTTACGCTTTCCTAGTTTCACCATACTCACATCATTTTTGGTTTATATAATACTTCAGTTTTATGATGTTCTTCTTGTTATTGTGAAAGTTGTATGGTGGGAATGCTTGCTAGCTTAGCATTTGTAGAATGTTATATATCTTACGATGTTTTGAGATCGTGCACCAAAGTGAACCGCTATCTTTGTTGTATGTATGCATAAATAGCATAGCACATACTATCATGAGTCAAGTGATGATGTGACCTTGGACATTTGAGAGTAAAAACGAGACCTGGGCCCACAACATTGTAATTTTTTGTCATTTCTCGTATGATATGTTTGACTAATTCAAACAATTGAATGACACTGACACGGGAATCTCATTGTTAATATGATTCCCATTCCTCGTCCGTGATTCTCCCATTCCCTCTGCTTGATGAGTCTGTGGAGTTATGGACAACATTTTTTGTGGTGTTTCCATACTTGACCAATTCTTAAAGTGCTTTCAAACTCTAGAGAATTCTTAAGGTGCTTAAGGAGATAATATAATTAATCATAGTTTCTATGCTCAAAAGGATATGTGATAATGGTAGCTTTAACATAGGGTTTGTCAAGTCGCTTACCTTATCCATTTCTCGTGGCAGTGAGGCTTTTGCCTTGTATGTATTTTGCATGACACAGTCCTTCCAGCAAGGCATGAGGTGTCATAGAACATGCAAACTAGTGTCAGCTTGATGTCTCGATGAAGTTGTGTGATTGCACTATAGGCTTCTGCCAGATTTTTGCAATGATAAGTGCCAAGTGGTAGGCATGAAGACGTGGCAAGCACAAGGTGGTAAGCCAAGGTGGCAAGCATGAGGTGGGAACGTGCTTGCTTGCATGGAGAGGTGCCGTTTCCAATTGTGCCGTCCACTTGAGCAGTTAGCTTTTTTTTTCCTCTATCAACATATAGAAATTATGTAGGTTGTAAAGGTTAAAGAAATAGAAAGAAATGGAGGAGCTGAAGATAGGTTATGTTTGAGCCTTACAATGGGAACATATGAGGAGTATCACCTAGAGGCTGTTAATACAACCCCTTTTTTTTCTTTTTCTTTTTTTTTTTTGTGCGTGTGTGTGGGGTAATTTTGGAAACTTTGGAATCTTATCATACACAATTGCATATTTTGCAATTTTGAGGATTCAATTGATTTATAAACTTTATGCTGGTAATTTGACTTTCTGTCTGCTTCTAATTTAGATTAGGACTTGCTTTGCTGCAGGGGTAGTAGACAGCTAGCTAAAGATAGGGAAGGTGTAAGTTTATGCTTTTGTGTTCTTAGCTTCATTGCTGGTTCTTTATCCTAAACAGTTTTCTGTGTTCATATAGATTATTAACGGGGCCTTGAATTGTTAAACTGCATCATAAGTTAGTGTAATGATGATCCATGTTAATTTTATGTTCAGTGTATCCAACATGGGGACAAACTTTTTGGCTTGTTTGTTCATAGGTGTCGGTTTCTTGTGCTAACTAATTGGTTTTATGTTGTCACTTATTGATCGTGTCTTTCCATAGGTGGGCTTTTTTTAAGTGAGGGGCTTATTGGTTTTATATTTACAAGAAATCCTACTACTTTACGCACTGATGCACTCTTTGGAGCTGCTTTGCTATCCCTCAACACCTTAAGCTTAAAGGTCTGGAGACAAGGAAAATCTAGCTTCCCATTCATACTAGGATAAGCAGGTATCTACTTCTTGTGATTCAAGATATCATGACATCGATTTCTTTTATATTTTTTTGCTCTTAGATTCTTGTATCTTTTGTTGGTTTCAAATTTATTATTTCTTATCTAGAAGAAAAACATAAACTATGCAGCCCTCTGAATGGTAGTTTTGATGCACTTTTTATGGCTGCCATTGGACTAGCTTGTGAGAAGATTTTAGTGGTTCATTTATACTCTACACTGCAAATTTTCTTCTCAACTAATAGTCCAGGACAAGTTTGTTAGATGAATTATATAAATTTTTTTTATAAGTAATGTGTATATATTAATGAGGCAAGCAAAAAGGAACATAACAGCCTATATCACCTATACATCAATCTACTCAAAAGATTAAAAAATTCAAAAATTGGTTAAAAACCAAATTAACATCACCCAAGAACGTTACAAAAAATGGTTTTTCAAATTAAAGATGGGATATTCCAATCCATCAAATGTACTCTGATTATCCTTTCTCCAAATGATCCACATCAAACCCAAAGGAAGACTGGATGAAGTGGTCTTAATCAAAGTAGACCACACCCCTTTTTGATAAATACCGTCTCTTCCAGCCTGCTAGACGCATCTGGAACCTTTCCACCTGAGTTCCAAACTGAGTTTGCCTCAAATCCAAGGGGGAGACCAAGTATAAAGAAGGTAAATGATCAACTTTACAGCCAAAAATTATTTAAAAAAAAAAAAAACTTTATAGCCAATCCCCCCATAGGAGGAACCTCTCCAACTGGAATAAGGCTAGACTTCCGCAAATTTACTTTCAAGCTTGAAACTACCTTGAAGCAAACAAGCAACATTGATTACCCAAATACTGGGCCTCAGTCCCACAAAAAATAATAGTGTCATTTGCGAGCAAGTGAGAGACCTTTAAAAGGGGAGCCATCAAGCTGCCCAATGTGAAAACCCTCCAAGAAAGCACCCTGCACTGCCTCTCCATCGTCCCACAATGTCATTATTATCCTTTAAAATTTGGCTCTTTCATACTTCTTGTAAGCTCCAAAATACAGAGTTTGCCAAGTGTTTGAACAAGCTCACAATGCCAATGATTTTCCATCATTTACATGTTCTAGTAACCAGTGTGCATGACTTCCATGTGCATTGTAAAAACAATCAAGATAAGTGTGTTATAAATTTATGTTGTTCTTCATTTCTCTTCATTTGGATGTTCTATTTCTGATCTTTGCAGTAATTGCTGTGGCACTTCTTTGGAAGAACTTTCAGACCTACTCTATGGTAGTTTATCTCATCACCACTACATCATTTTCCCTCATTGGCTAGCTTATTCTTTATATTTAACTATAAGAATGATATTGTGATTGCAGACAAAGAAACTGTTCCCAACAGGCTTTTATGCTGCCATTAGGTACTTAAATATCTCTGAGTGTTTTTATTGACGAAGTTTAGTTACTTTCCGTCATGAGCTATATCTTGCTAAACAGTCTTCTGATCTTTATTTGTGTCAGTGCTGCAATGCAATGCTTCTATTCCTATGTGGTTTTGTCCGGAGGAAACCCACCACCAAAAAAGTTGAAATCATCTGCCGTTGCCCCATCATAATTACAACCAACGAAGCTCATATCAGATTTGAGGTTTACAGTTTTTTTTTTTGGCTTGTGGTTTTCAAGTGAATGTGAAGGTTGTTTTGTTTGTTTAACATGAAGACTTGGTCAGTCATGGGAAGAGGGGAAATGTAATCATAGAACCGGGTTCTAATTTAGAGGTTGCTTAAGTGAAAATTAGAAGAAAACTGTTTGCCGTGTCAGCTGTGTTCTAAAGAATAAAAGAGGAACAGTTTGATATGTTCTCATGTAATCTACAAATGGATTGATATAACTTGCATGCAAATTGTTGAAAGAAACTTTTGAATGGGTGAAATAATAGTGTTATTGAAATATAACTGACTTGCAAAATAGTTTCCTGCAGTCAGTTTCATGCAGTCAGTTAAGGAAGAAGAAGACAGGCTACAATGTTTTGCAATTTTTTTTTAATGGGTAATTAAACAAAAAATGGTTTTTTTTTTTTCCTTTACTAATATGTATCTATTTCCTTCTTACTCAGTTCTAAAACTATAGGTTTAGATTCGGGGTTGATCAAAATTTTCTCTCTTAGGTGTCTCACTTTCAAAATAAGAAATTTCACATTTTTTCCCAAGATGAAATGATTTCAAATCATCTTCTAATGTAAAAATAATCGTGGATATCACACTTACTGATATTTTGCTTTAAAAAAAAAACCAAATAGTCATAAAAGTTTAAGGGAAATTAATGCTCTACTTATTCCTCTCTTGAGCATTATCATATTTTAATGTAGACAACTACATTTTATTTTTGATAACTTGTTTGAAAAAAAAAGGTTTGAATTTTCATAGTGGTGTGTTTAATTCTACTTTTACAAATTTTCATTAAAGTATGAATTATATTTTTATAATCAATTTTAATTTATTTAAAATATTATTTTTATATTATATAAATTTACAAATTATATTAAACAAAAGTATAACCAATTTGAATAAACATTATGGCAGAAGATTTATTGTTTTTTATTATCTTACATTTGGTAAACAATTCAAAAAAGCTTGTTAAATATATTTGGTAAATAACGGAAATAAGTTTTATATAAAGGGAAACAAGTTTATTATTACAACAATTTTTTTTTTAATTTTATAATTTTAAATCGTAAATCTTAAATAACTTTACATACTAGTTTTTTGAATCCTAAAAAATCTTAATATTTATCGTTTCAAGTATTTTTCATGTGACTTGTTACCAAATATATTTTAAAAAATATAAAATTATATAAACTGATGAATCGAATACCATAATTATTTTAATTTGATTATGCTTGTTATTTAGAGATTTCTCTAAATTTTTAAAATTAGAGAAAATAATTTAAAACCGATAAAATTAGAATAAAAATATGATTATAAAAATTGGAAATTTTTTAAAAAAAATTTAATTATAGGATTCAAATAATATTAGGAGAAAACTAATTGATAGTATTTTTTAAAAAAAAATTCCCAAAACTTAAACCCTAGTGTCGAAGGAGGTCCTACTAGCTTCCTCATATATAAATCTCACTCTCTCTCTCTCTCTCTCTCCTCTCACTTCAAAACTGCAAATAAAAGCTATACACCAAACCAAAAATCCCTAATCTGATCCCCCAAATTATCCGGCACCGACTCACTTTTCCGGACAATTTCATGACCTCTGGCCGGTGATGTCTCCGGCGGTCATGGATGTCCAATCTCCCCTCACTTCCCCACCCCAAATGCAACCAAAACAACAGCAATCGTTCACTCCGCAAAACCCTAACCCTAACCCTAAACCTAACCCTCCCTTCCCTTTCGATTCGGGCTCGAATCTCCCCGAGCAGCATCGAAGTTCGAACCTTGGCTTCTCTTTGCCTTTTGTGCCGCGAATGAGTTCAGAGAAGTCGAATTCTTCTGCAGTTTCGGGGCTTTCGAAGCCGAGGCTTGTGAAGATTAGGAGACAGATGGGTTCTCAGCAAGGGAAGTCTTCAAATAATTCGGGTTTGAATCCTTTTCAGTCTGTTTTGGAGAATTCTAATTAAGTTAACAATGCTACTAGTAGTTCATCAAATGGGTCCAATTCTTTGGTTAGGGATGTGGGTTTTGTGTTTGGCTCACATAAGAACAGTTTGATGTCGAATTTGAATTCGGAAAAGCAACAATGTACTGGAAGTGCGGAAGGGTTTGGGAGCTTCAATAATGTGGGTTTTGTGTTTGGTGTGAATAAGAGTAATTCGGATTCGAATTCACATTCAGAGCATAAAGAATCTAGTGGAGGTGTGGGAGAATTGGGTGCCAATGTGGGATTTGTGTTTGGTGCTAATAAGAGTAGTTCTTTAACGAATTCGGACTTGGAAAGGAGACCATCCAGTGGAAATGTGCAACAGTTGGGTGCTGATGAGTTTGGGGAACTCAATTGTGGGGGTTTTGTGTTTGGTGCCAAAAAGAGTAATTCAGTTTCAAATAAAAATTCAGAACAGAGAGCATCTAATGGAAGTGAGGGGCAAATGCATGCCGATGAGTTTAGGAAATTTGACAGTGTGCAATTTGGCTCCAAACCTACCACTTCAGTATCCAGTTCAAATTTCGAAGCAAGAGAACCCAGTGTAAATGAAAGAAGAGAATAAGGCAGAGTTCAGGAAGCTAGATGATCAGTGTTTTGTCTTTAGTGGAGATTTAATGCCAAATTCAAATTTGACAAAGAAAGAATCTCATGAAAATGTTGAGAAATCGGCTTCTGATGTAAGCAGGAAGATGAAATTAGATAATATAAGTTTTGTGCTTGGTGGTAATTGGAGTGAACTGACATCAAACTTAGATTCGGTGAAGAGTGAATCTAATGAAAATGGAGGAAAATCTGTACCAATTGGCAGCCAGAAGATGAAACTTGGAGCACAATTGGGGCTGTCTGATAATGTTGGTTTTAATTTTAGTGCTTGTTTGAAGAGTTCATCGTCAATTTCAGATTTCAAAAAGAGAGAATCCAGTGAAAGTTCTGGGAAATCAGACTCTGAGGATGTTGGAAAGATGAAAGTAGATATTGAAGTAGGTTCTGTTGTAAATAATAAATACAATTTTGTATTTGGAAGTAGTGTTTGTAGCACCAGTGCTTCTGGGACAAGCACAGCACACAAACTCTCAGATGAGATGAAGAAATTGACTGTTGATGATTGTGGAAAGATTGAATGTTCTGACAACGCTGAAGATCCTAATATTAACTCTCATGGCAGTTCTAATCATGTCTTTGTGTTTGGAAGTGACAAAAGCCCCCCTTGTTTTTGTACAGGAAAAGCAGGAACTACTTCATATGAGCAGGTCAAGGATGCAAATTTGAAAGGTGCTGGGCATGGCAGTGCCGTTGAGAAGACGGAAGGAGTCAACTTTAGAACCATTGACGAGAATGTCTTTGTATTTTCAAGTAGTATTGATGCTGCTGGCTCTTTTGGTGGAGGTGAGCGACAGGTTATGCCAACCGAAAAGGATAAAAACACAAGTGGGCTGGGAGCTTTCAATGGAATAAAACTGGGGTGTCCTTTTGGAAGTTCTTGGGAGGAGAAGCAGCCAGCAAATGTCGATGAGAAGAGCTCCAATGGCCCTTCTGTCAGTACCTCTACTCCAAAACCATTTACTTTTCAGGCAGGGCTAAGTAAAATCTCTGATGGACCTCAAGATCAACTCAACAATGATACCAACCTGAATAAAACCTCTAACCAGTCTTTATTTTCATCCAGTGGGCTTGGCTTTGAAGTACCTTCTATGGGCAGATTTGAGAATAAGGATAAATTCAGCTTCACAAGCACGCCAGTTGGATTAGGGCCATCCACTACAGACTTTAGAACATCGAATAGGGATGCATCTTGTTCATTTACAGCAAATCTGTATAACGGGTTAAATAAAAAGTTGGAATTTTGTGAAAAGAGCATTTCAATCAAGGACAAGACAGGGAAGAAGACGAGGAGAAAGTTGAGGCAGGCTATTCCAGTTCAGCAGCAATCTAGGCAAAATTGTGTGTCAAAGGAAGGCTCCCAACAAAAGCCAGACTCTCCTGCATGCTATTCACCCATGGATTTTTCTCCCTATCATGATAACAGTTGTGCACCCTCCGCTGTGAATGCAACAAGTTCTACATGTGCAAGTGATGAAGATTTGGCAGCTGCAAGAGAAGGACCTAATACCAGTGAAGATGACAAAAAATGTAGAGGGAAACATGAAGAAGTTTCCAAGAATCATTATGAAAGATTTGTTGCTCATTCTTCTTTAGAAGAAGCTGAAACTGAATGCAGTAATTTCAAATCTGAACAGAAAACCATTAACAGGGGTGGTGTTGCGGAAGATAGTGTCAATTCAGACAGGAAGAGGGAAGAAAGTGAGTGTGTAAAGCAATTTTGTTTTGTCTCTAGTGTAGAAGATATCAGTGTGAGAAATTTTACCTTCTCTGTGTCCTCTGCACAAGATAACTTTTCAGCGACGAAGCGCAAAACCGAAGGAAATATAGGATGAAAGTTGGTCATGGTCCAAATTGTACCACTCCAAGTCAAAAAGTTGACACTGCATCTTCCTCTGTCCAATCTTCACCTCTTGATAGTGGTTATTTGCATTGGGTACGGGCACAGGATAAAGAAGGGGATATATTTAGTTCTCAAAGGGAGGGGGAGAACAAATCTAAAGGAGGTGAAGAACATGACAAGGGGTCCACTGCTGCAACTCTGGAAGCCTGTGAGAAGTGGCGAATTAGGTGCTTCTTTCATCATAGTAGTTCATTGGCTTTTGAAACTTCTTTTTCTTTTTCTTTGTTTGTTTTCTAGATTTTTGCTTTAGTTTTCAAATATTATATCTGTAATTGCCGTTACACAATTGGTTCCTCTGCTATGATTGTATCTTTACTTTGAACGCATCAAGTTGTTATTCTTGTTTGAAAGTTATGATTTTTATCAGGGGGAATCAAGCTTATGAGAAAGGGTACATGTCCGAAGCTGAGGAATTTTACACAAAGGGTATAAACTGCGTCCTTCATAGTGAGAAGTCAGGATGCTGTGTTGAGCCACTTGTGCTGTGTTATAGCAACCGTGCTGCTGCACGGATGTCTCGTGGAAGGATGAGGGAAGCCCTAGGGGACTGTATGATGGCTGCTTCACTGGATCCCACCTTTCACAAAGTCCAAATTAGAGCTGCAAAGTAAGACTTTATTTTATGCTCTCTCATATTTTGTGTGCAAAATCGACTAGGTCTGAATTTTATGCCTAATTGTTTTGGGGGCATATAATGACAAATCACTTGATGATCATATCTACTAAGTACTAGCGGAAGGAGGTAACAAGGAAGATATTGTTTAGAAATATCGGGGTCTCTTGAACGCAGAAATATTGTCCCAGACTTCATTTTAATCCTAAAAAATATCATGGTAACTGACTGGAAACTAATAAAAGCTATGTACAGTGCTATCTGAAACATCTAAAAGGGGGATGGTTTTTGGATTTGCCATCTGGGATAAATGTGAACCTGGATTGGGAGAAATCCCAAGCTTGGAAGAGTGGATGGAGCCTAGTCAACTTATGGCTGAGGTGGCTTTGTGTTAAGAGTTACATGAATCATATTTAGCAGTTGGAAGATGAGATCTACCATACAGAAATGTTTTAGTAATCTAGTCCAAAAGACTTGTTTTCGGTGATGGAACTCGTCTCAATGCCTCTTTGTTGGTTTTTGAGTACCACCTGGGACAAATATACCGGCGATGCAAACAGTTCTGCTTCAAGCCCCTGGTGATGTGGTGGATTGGAAAGTTCTGTGCCCCAAAAGATTTCTTTTTGGGTACATCGGAGGTTATAGTCTGGGAAAGAGGGGAATCTTGTCTGTCTAGATACGGGGAAATGAGAGATGAAAATCTGCAACTTTTGTTGCATTTCTATCATTGTCACAGCGAGAGAAATGGGAACTGGTGATGCAACTTTTCTTTCTTGTTTCTTGAAAATCTGAAATTCTGTCTAGAGTTCTTAAAGGCATTAGTTTTTTTATTTAATTTTTAATATGTAAAAGAATTGTTCCTTCCTGACAATTCAAATTTTTTGTGGGTGTACACTTCTTTCATTTTTTTGTAGTTTGACAAGGAGTTATCTGTATTTTTTTTTATAAAGAATATTCTAAAATGACCATATTTAATTTGGAGATTATGAATACTTTATATCAAGCATCTTATCCGTTATTTAACTAATTTATGTTTGATTGATTTATTTATTTATATTTATTTTTGCATGTTGAATTGAAGTCTATAGTTGTCCATGTTAGATATTCTATACTGTTGCTCCATTTTAGATATTCTATTTAGTTGTTGCATGGATTTCTTTTAGTGTTGTTGCCATTGTGAGAGACTTGACATACAAATTAGGTATTTTGTTATCGTTATTATTATTGGTTTTTGATAAGTTGTTTATTTTATTATTTTTTCTAGTTGTCAACTTGCACTGGGGGAAGTTGAAGATGCGTTCCAATATTTCAGCAAGTGCGTAGAATCAGGGAGTCATGTTTGTTTGGACCGTAGAATTATAATAGAAGCAGCCAATGGCCTACAAAACGCTCAGGTACCGCATTTGATCTTTAACATTGTTGGTGTTGCTCTATTAGGGGTTATTTGTAATGTTTTATTTATTTATTTATTTTTTTTGTTTTTGCTTTTATTACTATTGGAAAATGGTAACAAAAACTTGTTTGGTATGTTGTTTTTGCTTTGATAAAAGTGAAATAGATTAAAAAATTTGGAACAAAAAAGGCGTTTTATTTTTAGTTTTTTTTCAAAACAAATTTCACTCCCTGAAAATTTTTATTGTTTACCAAAAAAATGTTATCTTTGGAAACCGTCTTTTCAGTTAATTTCTTTGTCAATACAAGTGATACTGTGAAAGAAAAATCCATTGAACATCTGTTGGATTAGAAGATTGATATCGAAGAGAATTAGATCAATTTAATTTGATCTAGAAGGGGGGATAAAAAACCCCTCAGTGCTGTTCCTTTAAGTGACCATTCCATAGCTTAAAGGTTTTTTTTTTTTGTTTTTTTGAATGGCCTTGTGAAACACAAAATAGAACAAGAAATAGATACAAAAATAAGTTTCTATGGCACATGTTGGAGAAAGGAGGGGGAGGGGAGGAGGGGCATGAAGAACCATAACATATCAAGGTTTTGGTGTGCCAAACTACAGATCATCTTATTGGACCCTAGTAATACCCACAAAAAATCTGTTCTGACCTTTTCCAAACAGCATGT